TTGGGAGTTTGTTATGTGGAATGTGAGTTATGGAAGCTTGGTGCTGATATAAATAGCGTGAAATTTTATTAGTACCAGGTAAGGGATTGAGGGCCTGTATAATGTGCAAACCCAATCCCACATCGAAAAATTAACAGGTTCCAAGTCTAATATATAAATTTGGTGCGCTATTCTTTCTATTGTCAATTGGTTTTAGAATACAACCTTTTGAGTTGTTAGATCCTGCATTACGTTTAGAGATAATCATGAAACCATCATTAATTACGAAGAATTTTAATTTATTTTGGTCCAACTTTTTTTTAGAGTTTCAATATCGAAATCATGAAACCATCATTAATTACGAAGAATTTTAAATTATTTTGTTCCAACTTTTTTTTAAAGTTTCAATATAGAAATCATGAAACCATCAATAATTGAGAAGAATTTCAATTTTTTTTTTTTTTGGTCCAACTTTTTTTAGATTTTCAATATAGTACAACATCTTATAACTTTTACTATTAATTACTACTATCATTTTAAGGCAATTCGAACTTCAAGTTTACTGGAGTTGCGCGAATTCACAGCTATCGATTTTGAAGGTCAATTTCCAACCAATTCCTTGTCCAAAGCTACCGATTCAAGTTTTGTTTTGATCGTTTTCACTCTGTATACAATCTCTATTTTTTTTTTCTCTTTTAGTTTAAGTTTTGTGTTCGAGTTAAGGAGAATTTGAGTTTTAAAAATTTCAGTCGCGTTGGATTGGACAAAATCGTAACTTATATTAAAATGAAAATTCTTATGATTTAACTTATATTCTAGGCCTAAAATTTTAAAAAATCACTACCTTTACTTCAATTGCAATTTAAACACAGCTTTCAATTTTGTCAATTTAAGACGCAGCTTTTATATTTTTGCAAATTGAGACATGAAAACGTGATTAAATTTGATGCTTGCACTTGACTAGCTTACAATGACAAGTTGTAGTATATGGTGATTTTCCATTTGCTTTTTATTTTTTCCAATTCATTTTGCAGACGGTAGAAGTTGTAGTTCTCTATTTCTTAGTTTATGCATTA